GAAGTGGGTACTACTTCTTCGTTCTTGCCATCTTTTCTTTCTTCCTCCTCTACTTTTGGAGAAATGGGTACTACTTCGTTCTTGTCCTCTTCTCTTTCTTCCTCCTCCACCATTGGAGAAATGGGTACTACTTCGTTCTTGTCCTCTTCTCTTCCTTCTTTCTTCCCCCTTCACCTTTGGAGAAGTGGGTACTACTTCTTCGTTCTTGCCATCTTTTCTTTCTTCCCCCTTCACCTTTGGAGAAGTGGGTACTACTTCTTCGTTCTTGTCCTCTTCTCTTTCTTCCTCCTCCACCTTTGGAGAAGTGGGCACTACTTCGTTGTTGCCATCTTCTCTCCTCCAATAATTCAAGTAAATCTTGTAGGCCACTGACACAGCACCGTATATCAGAAATAAACACAAGAATGTCATTGAACGTGCTATGAAAGTTATTGGGTCCAAATCTTCGAAAAAGTAACAGTATACAAGTTTAAATCCGAGGTAAAAAATGAGAACACCAGGTATATTCTAATTAAAATCCATATTTAAAACGATGTTCCTGAAAATAAAAGTGAAATGTTAACCAAATTAAAAGTTTCATTGTATAAAGTTTTTTTACAATCGTTTATACGACAAAAGTTCGCCTTTCCATTTTAGGAGCTTAATGTTCTCAACTACTTGAACTAGCAAGTTCTTAAATGAATAATGCTAATTTTGTAGCTCTGGTTAATTTTTATGTAGTTTACGCCTGACTGAAAATTTCTCTTTCAGCGTCAGCTTTACCAAGTTTCAATTAACTCAATAATTGTAGATTTCAGTAAGTAAAATGAATACAATCAAGATTCTTTTAAATTATGTAAATTTAAGTTGCTGAAAGAGAAACCAACCAAAGAACCGGAATAATCTCTTTGGTTTATTGAATGAACGCGATTAGTTTTCGTATTTAAATAGTTCGGCTAACTTGGTAATAGATAACTGAAAGTGGGTTGGTTTGTCGCTTTACGGTCATCTTGTGCACACTTTAGTCTAATTAGACCATTAACTAAAATTTGCTGGTGGTTCGGAATCCACGGTACTCGTAAAAATCTATGCTACCGCCAGGATTCGAATCTAAAGCTTGTGGTACCGAAAGGTCAGAGCTCTAGCCAATTGACCATCAGGCCACGCTGAAAGAAAAGACTCAACGGTTATTAAATTGAGAGTGATTAGCGCTCTGGCGCTCGATACAACAGGTTTTGGGTTCGAGTTCTGGCGTTGTCGTGCAAGTTTGCAGATGTTCGGAATCGACTTTAAACAGTAGGTCCCGGTCTAATACGACTATAGAGTGTTGGACGTAATGCTTACAACCCTACTCCGTAAAAAGAGAAACATGTTTCGGAATCTGCCAGTAGGCAGACGGCCTTGGACCACCGTGGGATTGTTGTGCCATTGAAAAAGTAAAGAAAGCGAGCATTCTTGCGATTGTTTAAGCGTCTTGTAACATATCTACCTATATTTGACATATAACGGCTTCAAGAAGAGGACCACTTTTAGGTTCATGGGAACTAGTTAATTTTTATTTACAAGCACCAATATATATATTCTTTCTCCAAAAGCCCCTTTAAAAAATCCGTCAAAGAGGGGCAACTTCCCGTTGAAGTCGACACTTCCTCAACTCGTGGCCTATTGTCAATCATGATGGCCAATTGTCAATCAGTGCAGTCGATATTAAATCTAATTGATTCGACCTGTAAAGGTTACATACATAATCGCTAATTTAATGAGTCATTATACATGGCACTGAATATCTGCTTTCTGATTAGAAATTATATCTGCTTTTAGATTATTATTAGATTGTTCTAATTAGTACAAAATACTTATGGCATGCAATATTAATAACCACAACGCTGCTTGTCTGCTGTCAAATTTGAATGCTGGGTTGTTATATATGCTTGTCAAATAACATACACGCCTCTCGCCTGGGAATGAATCGCCAAACTCTTCCCGTGAGAAAAAAAAATTCTACTACAGAAACATTCTTGTATATTCTGCAGATTCCGAAGCATATTTTTCTTTCTACCGGGTAGGGTTGCTAATAAGTTTAAACTTATAGCTTAAGCAAGCTAAATAATTCTTGTTCAAGATTGCCTAGAGCATAGCATCTTATAGCTCTGAAAATCTATAAGATGCTTGATATTTTAGAAATTCTGCATCGATAGTTGAATTGATACAGGTATTCCTTATACTACAGATTCAGTACAGTATATCTGAAATTCCTGCTAAAGAGACATCTTCCAAATCAAAGAGTAGCAGTAAGTGAAGGATGGGATTGATCATAAATACTGGTGATACTTGTTATATAGTGGTCAACAAATTCGGCCTTTGTTATACGTAACAAGTATGTTCAAGTAATTTATTAAACAATTAGTACATTATCCATTTGCAATATACAAGTTAAAATAAAATGTAACTTACCGACTTTAATTTGATGGAAAATTCGAAATAATTCAAATAAGAGAAAAACACGATAGTATTAATTAGAAAACTCTGCATATAAATATCAATTTAATCCTACGAAATGAAACTATGCATTATTATTTAAATTGCTAACCATCCGTTAGATTAAAATTACGACTGGCGATTATGACAAAAAAAGTTGAATAAAAAAATTAAGATATATGAATACTTAAAATCTAGTTTGGTTTCGATTCGTCGCTCTACGGTCATTTTGTGCACACTTTAGACTAATTAGATCGGGACCTACAGTTTAGCGTGGATTCCGAACCACTAACAAACATCCAAACCAACGCCAGGATTCGAACCTGAAACCTGCTGTACCAAAGGCCAGAGCGCTAGCCAATTGGCCATCAGACCACTATTAAAAATCCAGAACATATCCCAATTGCCTTAAGCGGTAACAATACTTATATTACGCTCTACAAATGTAAAGTACTTGCTTAACATAATTATGAAAAAGTATCGAAATTTTCTTTGTGGCAAAAACGGTAACAACGAATCCATAGATTGAAAGGGAAAACACCCCTCAGTTGTTACTCAGGTTTCAAACACCACATGAATTAAAAATGGTAGCTTCCCATGGCAAACAGTATGCAATTTACTTATTTTAATATTATAATTCCATCTCGTATGCCAGTTCCTTGATTTTATATTATTCAAAATTTAATTATAAGTATTGTGTAAATTTACAAAAGATCATACGCAAAACTAAGAACGAGTTTTAATCAAAACTTTGATATACTGCGCAAGAAATTCTTCCTTATCTAAGATTCTAACAAAGTATATTTTTTCCATACTTATAGAAAAATAATTAAATGTGGTCGGCATACATTTTATGTTTATTTTTACACAAAAGTATAATTTATTCATGTCTTACCTATACTGTAGGTAATAAAAATAACAATGTAATTTGAAGACCCTCTTGATTAGTATGGATACTTAATATTAATCAACAATTTATTCTTTCCACAAAAGCTTTTATGAACAAAATGCATTTTATTAAGTTCTACCAAGTTCATAGTTGAAACGGAAATTCAGTTAATGACATGCGGTATGATCCTCAACGTGATTGAAATACAGTATAGTTAAATTACCTATATTATTGGAACTATATTACTTAATACCAACGGCCGTACCATTCTGAATATACCGGTTCTCGTTAAGATCACCGAAGTTAAGCATCATTGGGCGCGGTCAGTACTTGGGTGGGTGACCACCTTGGAACACTACGTGCCGTTGGCAAATTTGGGTCCTGAATGGCCAAGTGTCTAGCGCTCTGGCGCTCGGTGCCACAGGTTTCGGGTTCGAATCCCGGCGGTGCCATGGATGTTTGTAGTGGTTCGGAATCCACTTTAAGCCGTAGGTCCCGGTCTTCTATGACTGTCAGAGCGTCACGGAGCAAAAGTCAGGCTTCTACCTACGGGTGCTCCATCACAACAGAAGCTGCTTCCTTCCCCTTCAATCATGAGTCCATATGGGCTCGTGGGCTTGGCCAGCCAAGTGGGATAAGAAACAGCAGAACAACATATTGCTTAATAAAAGATATGGTTCAATTATCAATCCAGAGAATAAAACGCATATTATAAATTTATTATATATTTATTATATCAGAATTCTTCCAACACTAAAATTAAGAGCTTTGCAAAAATTGATTTGCACGCATTCAGTATAATTAATCCAAACATGATTTTTAAATTATCTACTCGTAAACAATAGCTTCATACACATAAACAGAAATTGTCACCTAAATTCTTAAAAAATTTATCGAATTGCCAATATTTTTATTTTTGTATTAGGGATATCAAAGTTTAAATAATCCTTTTTTTACACCGCATTTCCTTTCAAATCATCTACAATGTGTTAGATATATAAATATATGTAAAAAAACTTTCTCGAAAATTTCACATTCTATCTTGTTACATTCATGAAAATTCCCTTCATTAACCTAAATATAATCCAAATTCTACTAAAATTTCTAGAAGATTGACTTCTAGTTGAAACGTAATATTAAAGATAAAATTCTAATACCAATGAGAACGAAATTATTCGAAAGTAATAAATTTAAATTTTAAATTTAACTGCTGTAAAAATGGATTAGGTTAACCATATATATAAAGATTTTCTGCTACACCACCAGATTTTCTACTACATAGTGCAATGGATTTCACATTTTTTCTTTAAAACTAGATTCCGTATGCAAGGACAAAAATATCACTCTTTGCAAGATCGAATTTGTTTCCCCACCTTTTGTTTTGTTGTTTCTTATCCCACTTGGCTGGCCAAGCCCACATGGACTCATGATTGAAGGGGAAGGAAGCAGCTTCTGTTGTGATGGAGCACCCGTAGGTAGAAGCCTGACTTTTGCTCCGTGACGCTCTTGCAGTCATAGAAGACCGGGACCTACGGCTTAAAGTGGATTCTGAACCACTACAAACATCCATGGCACCGCCGGGATTCGAACCCGAAACCTGTGGCACCGAGCGCCAGAGCGCCAGACACTCGGCCATTCAGGTCCCAAATTTGCCAACGCCCACCCAAGTACTGACCGCGCCCAATGATGCTCAACTTCGGTGATCTAACGAGAACCGGTATATTCAGCATGGTACGGCCGTTGGCCCCACCTTTTAGTTAATACATAACACAGTACTAAACCTAATAAGAAGAAAAGGTAAGATAAGATAAGATAAATTAAATAAATTTAAAAACAATTCGTTTATTTACCACTTAAGTGAAGAAAGTCCTTTAATAAAATTCTAGAGCAGTTATCACTCATCGAGGAACATATATTTAAACTAAAGCTATTGTTCATCTTTTATTTAGTACGTAAATAAAGGATGCAGATATCTTCATTTCAAATAGATATCTAAAAATCTGTCACTAAATTGATTTATGAGTTAATATTTTTTTAAAATTTGTGTTGATATTTATAAAGTCAGTGACATTATTATGATTATTTATTCGAAAATGTAATATTAAGGATTTTTTCTTTAATTTTTTTTTCTAATGCAGCTAACAAACACTTGGACAGCTTGGTCTCGGATGCCTTCGTTACTCACTTTGCTTTACCCAGGGGGAGCGTGTAACTTGAAGATAAGCCACGGACGTGGAGTAACAATGCCCCCGCAACGCTTTACGATCCTATTAGACCGGGACCTACGGTTTAAAGTGGATTCCGAACCACTACAAACATCCATGGCACCGCCGGGACTCGAACCCGAAACATGTGGTACCGAGCGCCAGAGTGCTAGCCACTCGGCCGTTCAGGCCCTTTTCTTTAATGTATATAACAAGAAAATAAACCCAATAGAAAAGAAATGAACTGAAGAAAATGGGAAGATTGTTTGGCTGCCATTTTGTATAAAATTACTACGAAATTCAAAACGTTTATCACCAGTTTGAAAGCTTTCTTTTTATTTACTTTTTAACAACTATTGATATCTTTACAAAATATTGGTAAGCCTAATTTAGTACTTGTTGTTAGTGAAACATACTTAAAAATATAATTGGTTATTTGTTTATTTTCTAGAAATTTTTATAAAAAGATCATTGATAAATTTTAATGAAGTTTAATGGAAATTTTATTTTTTATCTTTTTAAATCGTTGCATAAATTGATTTTGTAAAAATTTGTTGATATGACTTTCAATTGTTTGTCAAAATCAATGATGATGCATTATAGTTTTGCATTCATTATGAAATATGGTACACTATAAAAATACACGATCCGAAATGATGGATTTCTAAAGTTGTATTCAATAATATATTTCATTTTTAAGCGACTTTTTTTTTCTATTTCTGCTTTGGATTTTTCATAAAAGTACAAGTTTATATTAAGTTAGTACTGAATTACCTGGTTTATGAATATGTCGTGTGATATATATTAAAATACTCTACAAGAGATTTATCAGATTATTTATTTGAAATTTTATTAGATTCTTATTTGATTATTTATTTTTTCAATTTTATAGAAGAATCTAGGAAGAACTTTTGACTGTTTCATTGGAGAATTTTTAAACTAGTTTCATTGCAGCTCCATTTTTGATGCAAAACTATCGAATATATCAAAGCTTCGGAAAAGTAATTAAAGATTTGCTGATTGTATAGTACGAGGGATTCTTTCTGTAACTTCGAGTTGATTCCGGTGGGGCTAAATTATATTTAAGAGTTTGTCTAATTTTATATTATCTTAAAATTAATTGGGATTTCTTTTTATAAATGTGTAAATTTCTGTCTATTAGTAAGTTTCTAAAGTACGTCATAATTTATGTAAAATTTTACTTTTTAAAAATGACGTTTACAGGAATGTTAAGAAGTACGCAGACTGCTTAATTATCACTGTAATAAAATTCTCCATGCTAATAAATTTTAAGAACTGATACAAGTTTATCGCTGTACGGTCATTTTGTACACACTTTGGGCTAATTAGAAATGGACCTACAGTTTAACGTGGATTCCGAACTACTCTCAAACATCCATGCAATAACATCGCCACAAATCGAATCCTATGGTACGAAAGTCCAGAACTCTAGCTAATTGACCATGAGGCCACGATTGAGTTGAGCCAGCCAGGATTCGAACAAGGAATCTACTGATCCGTTATCGGGCGCGTTATCCGTTGTGCCACTGTCCCACGTAGGTTTGAATGTCTTGGGTACTTTCATTCTACATGGATTATGAACGGCAATTTAAGTTGAAATAAAATCACTAATCCTGGCGATCCTAATCTTAATGAGATAATAAATTTATCAAAATATTTTATTGTCGTCGGTTCTTCAGAAGTCTCCAAGGCTTAAATTAAATCTGATTGATTAAAGTAGGGTAAAATCGAGCCCAAGAGTCGGTTACAAACAAACATACAGATGAAACTAATAAAAGCGTATTAAAAAGCTGCTCTAAACATCAGATGCGGTTATGGAGGTCCCTTTTTGTTAACATACACATACACTCTATTAAATTTGATGACTAATAAATCTTTGATTGGAATTCATATTTAAATAAAATTATAAATAATTAAAATTATATTTGGCAAGACAATAAAATTTGAATATTTTTAATTTTATTGTCTTGCCAAATACAAGAACTTTGCATCATAAAAACTCGGCAAGAAAATTTTTTTTTCTTTAAATTTTTATTTATTTCTATTTGTTTTTACAAGTTGGGAAAAATTATCTTTTGAATAAAAGGGTTATTGAGATGGAATTAATTAAATGAGTTAAAAAAAGGATAACCCGAAAATTATATAAACCCGATAAAACTCAATACCGAAAATCATTTGCTAGTGCTCGTCTTGTAATCAAACGATGACGTTGACGTCCATTAAAGTTTGATCTTCAATGGATGCGAAAATCGTTATTGATTTGAAAAGGTAGAATGTTGAAAAATGTCTTGTTTCCATTCAAACAGTATTGTGGTTTTTAAATTACTCGTTTGACATGCCTAAATGCTAGATAGTTGATCTTGGGGAGGAAAAAATGATGACAGGAAAAACATTTACAATAAACACCCATTTATTGAAATTCTTTCCTGTTTTTAAATCTCCACACTGTTAACTAACTAAATATAATTTTTAGAAGAGTGGATTTTACAAGCCACATGCCGGTGCAATAATGCAAATGCCTTCCATAAAGGTAAAAATTTTTTTAATTGAAATAATCTGATCCTTTAATTTAAATGTAGGGATTCTATTCATTTCTTTTTCACTCCTTAAACTTTTTTATAATCTATTATCCCTGCTTTTATATATTTTATCTATTTGCATTTTGACAGAAAGTAAATATACCGTAGCATTTTTTTCTCACTGGAAGAGTTTTGGCATTTCATCCCCAGGAGAAATGAATGTAGGTTATTTGAAAAATATATAATAAACAGATCAATCAAATTTGACAGAAAATAAACAGTATTGTGGCTAGTTATATTAAATGCAATTAAAGTTTTGTACTAATGAGAACAACCTGTCACTCAAATCTGATGGCAGATATTCAGTGTCTTGGATAATGAGACTTTACAATTAGCAATTGTATGTGGGACCTTCACAGGCCGAAACTACAGATTGAACAAATGCTACGAGTTGTTTCATCGTGATTGGCGATAGACCATGATCTGAGAAATGTCTACTCCAATGAGAAGTGAAGGAAGCTGTCCACACCAGATTGACAGATTTTTTAAATGGAGGTTTTTTGGAGAAAGGAGTTCTGCGATGTGTGGACTAGAAGTGTTGTTTTTATTTCTCTGAAATGATTGAATAGGCCGTGGATTCCGCCTGTTTCCAAAGTGTAGCCCTTGTGGTTTCGTATATCTCGTCGTGTGATAATTCAGGTATAACGCACACCACGTACTTTTAGATTCCACATAGACTTGAGAACTCTGAAAAACTTCCGACCTTGGAGTGAACTGTACTTGTGATTTAATCGTGTGTATGTATATAGTTTATATAGTTATTGCTTGTAAATAAAAAAATTAAAGTGTTCCCATGAACTTGTAAGTCGCCCTCTTCTTGAAGCCATTGTAGGTCAAATATAGGCCAGAATTTTCTATTCTAATGTTAACAATGTCTACAATACAATAGAATATAAAATTATAAGCAAATTTCAAGATTTATTAGAAAATAATGGTTGGAATTCGAATGTAAAATTTGCTTAAAAATGCTTCGTATCATACTTTATGGGACACAAGTTTTCACCACAGTTTTGACTTGGCTGTAATGACAAAAAAAAATGGCATATATAACTAAATACTACATACGATTTCTTTTCTTTCAGATCTTATGATGGATGCAATCTCGTATTTTCTAATAATCTTAGATCATTTAATCAAAACCTGTAATGACTTCTTCTCAACATATTTGCAATCAACCAATAATTATGCATCGAACTGGGGCATGCCATTTACAAATTTATCAATAGTCGTCACTTTAATTTATACGTTCACACTGATTATTTTAAGTGTATACTTCTGCTGTTGTAGACGTAAACATCATGAACCAGAACTTGTCGATACAGTTATCGAAAGATTAATTCAAAGTCTGAATGTATTGATATTGGAAGACACGCATACTGGGTATGCAAAGCGCTGAGAATTTGAATTGCTTTCAATTTTTATTCTTTCGTACTCAAGACAAATGTATTTTAATAAGTAAATATTTTAACCGACTTATTTTAATTGTTACTTTTTTTTGGAATAAATTACTTGAAATAACAACTTGAAGTGTATTAGTTTGATTTTGAATATTTCTTCTAAAATCAGCCGGAACATGTATATATTTTTTCCAATTATCTTTTTTCACGGTTGAAAGATAAGAGTATCATTTTTTTTCTCACGGAATGAGTTTTGCAATTTCATTCCCAGGAGATAGAAATGTATTCTTTGTATATAATAACAAATATTAATGAAAAAAACCTGTCGCTCAAATCTGATAGCAGATATTCGGCATCATGTATGAGACTTGGTAAATTAGTGAATGTCTGTGCGACCTTCCCAGGTTGAGACAACTAGATTGAATATGGTATATCAACTAGACAACAATATCACTTGATATCACAACTAGATTGTGTTATTCCATCGGGATTGGTGGTAGACCATAAGCTAAGAAATGTCTACTTTAATGAGAAATAGCCC